ATTCTGTAGTATATTTTTGACAAAGGAAGAGATTAAAAGCATATCTTCATCGAAGTCGCGGTACACATAGTTATGGATGCTCTTAATTTATAATAAGCCAACGTCTATTCTTTAAAAAAATCAATAAGACCTTTTAAGGTATTTCTCCCGCCTTCATAGCGTGCCTTCGTGGTGTAGTGGTGGTTCTGCACGCTGGACCGGTATTCCAGAGGTCCGTGGTTCGATTCCCGGCGAAGGCGATTGTTCATTGTTCATCTTTCCTGCTTCAAAATTGCCTAATGTCTTTACAACCTATTAAATTGCTAATATCGTGTGCCTTCCAAAGTAAATGTTTTAGGAGATGGATATCGTAAGAATTACCATACTTCCTGAAAGTTTATTGTGATAATGTGACATGTTTCATAATCAGATATACAAAGTGTCTCGTAAGTAACAGCGTCATTAATATTAATCAACAGTTTCCAGGACACCGGTGAAGTTAGAGTTGAGTAGCTCAACCATGAAACCGAAATCCAAGTCCCGCAAATGAAATACTTTTAGGGTCACTTAAGTGTTGGATTAGACCGAGAGGAAGTCCAATAGTGGGCTGAATATACAAAACTGCATAACACTGGTAGTTTGATAAGGTTCAAATCTTGGGAAGGCATTTTTGCTCTCATTTGCGTTGTAAGGCAGATTGCCTTACAGTGTTTTATTATTATTAAATAATCCATTCTGTGCCGAGAGGATTATTGGTTTGCTGCTTTGAGAGGGAAGATCATCAAGTTATAACCAGATAACCCGATCGCCATCGAACGTTTGTTATTGAAATTACAGCTTCGATTGAATATTTGTATATTTGATAAGTAAGAGAAATTATGAGAGAAGTTCCTATGATGGTAGGATACCCTTTGTATTGTATAGTAGTCCTAATCATTGTAAATAAGCGTCCTTTAGTATTTTTTCAATTAATAAATATATATTTAAAATTTTTGTGTACCTTTTTATGTACCTATATATTTGGTTCGCATAATGTCGAGTTCAAAATTTATTATGAAATTACGATTTCTTTATTGTAATTTCATAATAAAGGTTGAATCAGTGTAGGAGTCTTAGTTTTCCCTTCCTAGCACGCATTTTGTTCTTTTTCATTTGCAGTAAGAGAAGTATGAATGTCTTCCTTTTGTGCAAAGAAAATGGTATTAGGCAGTTTTTGTACATGTCACTTATCAAAAGAAATCTTTTGAGCAAATATTGACCCTTCTAGTTAACGAATTCCTCGTAATGTATGGAACTTTTGTTTTATTATTATTTATAGTGTACATATTGTAACTTCCTCCAACAAGTCCTACTCGTATTTGTGTTCAGAGATGAAATTCCAGGATCTGATCGCATTTCCTCAATCGGGATCTTTGACCTGTATTAGCTTGTGCGTTTTTTCTACAAACAAATTAAGCGCTTGATGGTTTTTTTCATTTCATTGTACGATACCGCTAAGTTTCTGATCTTGCATTCGATGTCATTTCCTGGTTAACAATAATTTGTTACCGCTTTTGTGCTTTTAAACACTACCACTTCTAGAAAGTAATAAAAACATATAAGGAAAACCGTCTTTCTTAATCAATCGTTAACTTTCTTTTTATCTACTCAAAGCATTTGAAACTTCAGTTACTTTCCCTTAGGGCAGGGTTTCTTAAACGTTTTTCAGTCGCGACCCCTTTTTATCACTGAGAGGAACTCCCAGAACTCAATAATATTTACAAAAATTTTGTGGGACCCCATAGGTATTGCACAAATCCGACACTCGCGTGGGTGAAACTGCCAATTTTTTCACTTGTACTGTAATGTGCTGTTGCAGTTTTAGGTCATTAACTTTAATTTCTAATTTTAAAATAGAGAACAGTGTGAAAATTTTAAATAAGTAACAGACGAAATAACAGCGTCACGTGCAAAGCAAGGAAAATGAACGTTTATACTATAAAAAGTGCGCGTCGAAATGTTTTCGTTTTTCATTTTGTCTGTATTGTCTTATCTTTATCTATTTTCAGCATTGTATAAAAATATTTGGTAATTGTAAAATTATTATAATAAGTTAAAGAAATATCAAAACTGCTAAAATTATTGGCAACTCCCTGCTACAGGTCCCGCGAACCACAGCTTAAGAAACCCTGCCTTAGGGTGTTAGTCGTTATGACTTCAGAGTTTCGTATGAATTAAATAATTAACAATCAAGAATGCATATTTTATTAAAATGTTTGGTTTTGATCCTGTTTTAAATAAAGTTGTAGAACAATCCATCCAACTTAATTCCTAATTCATTTCCGGTTCATCTAGAACAGTATTTAAAATATTCTGAATATGTGAAATTCTTAATTACAACAAAATGAATCTTTAGAGTTAATTATAGTCTTTCACTGAATACGTATTTTTTTCGCGTATAGAAACGAACCTTTTCGTGTTTGAAGTTTTCAGTTCTTTTTTGCAATATAATTTGGACTTAAATATAAGAATATACTTTCTAAGCAGCTCGTGGATGTTTTTCCTTGTGCCAGTTCTCCTGAACGTTTCTGGTGATATGCTTCCACTAAGACATGCACTTTTATTACATAGATTTGTAATTATATAATTTGTCACTATAAAGTTTTGTTGCTTTCTGAATTATTTCTACTAATGTATTAATCGCACGTGGGGGTTCTACTCTCTGATTCGTGTAACTTTAGGCCTAATTTGATTAGCAAATATAATAATATTTTTCATTCACTTTTGATGTTGGTATAATTGGAATCATATTAAAGCAAAGTATGGACTCTAAACCTAAACGCAAGCTCAACATGCCCATTCTGTACTTAAAGAATCAATTAATATGTACTCTACATTTACTGGTGTCTTCAGTAAGTGCTACAGCTGATGCATGGCGGGATTCTTTGTTATTATCACAAAACATGTGGCAGAATACAGAAACTGGAACTATTGAAAAATGTAAATGCAAAACACGTATAGAAATAATATGTTAATTATACCTTATATGCTTTCATGACTTAAGTTTTTAGGCTTCATTCATCGTGATGAGACAAAAATTTCTTCTTGAAAAGCACTTTAGGGAACAGGCATTTTATATAACAAAAGAAATGTAAAATACATCCACTTCTGCTTTATGTACTGTTAGTTAGAATAATCTGCCAGAATAGTTTATCTGTTTCCTTTGTGGAATTTAAGTTCTAGTAACAAATCTTTTCTTTCTGCCTCTTTTCGCCATGAGGTTCGCTGATTTCAAAATTTATCTGGCAAACAGTTTGACCATAAAGTATAGAATTTTATAAAGTGTAGAATTTTTACGAGTAGGAGTGAGAGAGTTTGGCCAGCTTTCGCTGCTTGGCCAACCAAAAGACTCTTCTGGGAATACTTCAGACTTAGGTTATAAGGTAATTTCTTCCTCCTTTCTGCATACCTTCGTGGTGTAAGAGTAGCACACTCGACGCGTATTCGAGAGGTCCAGGTTCAAGTCCCGACGAGAGCATTGCTCATTGTTCACGTCTTCTGCTTCAAAAATCCTAATGACCTCAAATGACTCAAAAATCCTAATGAAGGTTAGTTCCTGTTTGGTAAATGCAAAGTTCTATAGCGGTCTAAGTAAGCTTGTAGTCTCCTCCGAGGTTAGACTCAAACTGTTTAGTATGCAGAGGTTCTCAACCTGTGGTACGCAAGAGAAAAATAGGTGGTACGCAAAGAAGCAAAGTATTTTTTAATTTTAAATTCAAAGATTAAAACCTCAACATCCAGATTGAGTTTTTTCTCTAACACTCGTAAATTTATGCGATCTGAAGCTTTGTTCAAGAGTGGAGGTGGTAGTAGTACTTTGTAGTGATGGTACTTAAAGGCGTTCAATTTATGTTTAGATGGTACGCGTTAGTCAAAAGGTTCAGAACCGCTGGTGTATACCCTTTGTTAAAGGAAGCTTTAAGTTGAAACCAGGTCCAACTCGGCTGATAAATCTGTGTTATATGTTTTGAGTTAAGCCTTCTGAAATGCGGAAATAAGATAAACTTAAAGTGTTTTAATTTTGTATCTCTTTGCTTGTTAAATAGCTGTTCTAGTGGTGATAATTCATCGCACATAACGGACGTAACACCTGATTTTTATGGCAATACACATTGCTAAATTATTTGGAACCATGGCTCTTGGAACCCACAGCATGTTTTACACATTGACTTTCTGTATTGTTTTTTGGCTGCCGCTTCACAATGGGAAACAGCTTAATTTTAAGATAAATTTTTCTAACAAGTACAGCATATCAGCTTGAAACTTCTTCGTGTTTCTTACTGTCAAGTATTTCTTTCACGAAATATTTCCTCATTTTCCCAGCTCTTCAACTGCAACTGGAAATCTCATTGTCAAATGGGCCCTTCCTCATGTTACAATTCCAGCATTTTTAGAATGTTAAACTGAAAGTCATCATTCTCGATATTTTCCCATTTCTCCGTTTCAAAATAAGCCCTTTTTCATAAAGCAAATCGTGGCCGCAATGTTTTTCTTTGTATAATTTATGCGCTTACATATTACATATCTTCTTTTGTACAATAATTCATGTGCTAAATATACAATGCACTATTATTAGTGCAGTGCATATTTAAACTGTTATTTAAGCTGTTAGTTAAGTGTAACTGGTATTATGTTACGTTTTCCGTATTTTACTGTTATAGCTGAAAAATGTTTCATTACAATATAAACTTCAATTTCTTTATTGTATTTCTCAGAATTTTTAAGATGATACATTACAAATTATCACTTAGAATGTGACTGCTACTTTTCTGAAAATCTTAGTGTTATGAGAATTTTATTCGTCTATTTTTGTATTCAGACTTCACAAATTCCAGGATAAATTCTATAGTTTGAAATCCGTTCAAACAAAACCCTCATTTTTCTTTTTAACTTCTTTCTGCTTTATGAAATGAAATTAAGCAAGAGTTTTAATACTCATAATTTTTTATAAACATAAAACATCTTATTTTCTTCATACGTAGATCGGAGTAGTGAAAGTGCCAGTAGTAAAGACTACGAAAAAGAAGAGATGCCGGAATACGTTGCTCAAGCATTTGAGGATTTACAGTTCGTAAAAAGCCAACATCACAGGTAATGTACATTTGGCTTAATACTGAAAATAATGGAAGTTTTCTAACTTTTGTTTTAAAAGTTTCATTAAAAATTTAGCTTTTAATTTAAGATTTCAATTTAAAAATTTAAGGAATGAGCCTTTATTTTAAAATTTTAAAGTTAGGCAATTTGATTGGTGTAAAATTTGAATAAAGCTTTATCGATTTCGAGAGTGAGCAGATACATGTCCATCTTTTACAGCAGCAAAAAAATGTTTGACAGAAGTAGGAATTTGATGTCGAAAGCAATGAACGGAGCAAAACAAAAACGAACGTAACTCTTTGTGTAGAGGGTATTAGCAATAACCCATTACAATCAATAGAGTTTGACACAAAATGCACGCCAATCTAATGAATTTGCATTGTTTACTTAATTTAAAATTTTACATTGGCCCTCTTCTTTCATATTAAGTTTTAAAATATTATGCAAATTAAAATGTTAAAAATCGTTTAATTATTCCCTACAGTGGCAAAAATTTAAATATTTATTTTCTTTATCTTCCTCATTTCTTTAATAAATACTTAAAGCTGCCGTTACCGACCAGACGGGATAGTGGTTAGTGACGATCAGTATTGTATCAAAAGGCTTGGGTTTGGATCCAGAAGAAGGCATGGCTGTTTGTAAATGCATTTCTGTCTGTGTCGCATTGCGGGGTGCACTCAAAATATACGATGACCCAGAAGTCCTCTCGAGTGTTTTGGTGGTAGAAGAAGGAGAGTGGGTGACCATCGAATGCGTCCCCTGGGGTGTTCTCTTTCAAAAATGGGGCGAAACTGGGCAAAGTCCTATCGTCGCTTACATGGTGCTCTATTTCATGCCAACGACGGAAATAGACTCGTCGATTTGAAAAGTGTTGTCAGGCATCAGTAACGGCACACTCTCATTTTGGTTAAATGTAGCCTGCATCGTTAATCCCGGGAGATATTCGTCACTTTGCTTTTTCCAATCCCCCAAAAATCAGGATCACACAAAATGATGTTTACTTAAAAAGGCGGGAAATAGGAACACATTTCCAGTTCACTTTCAGCTGGCACTGCAATAGAACTACTGCTAATTTGAAAGCACGCATTTAGGGATAGTCTTCCTTAATTTTCAGATAAGGGAATAGGGAACAAAAAAGTTTTTCTTCTGATATGGAAGCAATATTCAAAATCCTTTAAATGTCCCACATAGACGGTCTTCTAAATACGTCTTGATAAATGCTGGAAAGAGGAAAGGAACATTTCTAAGGCTAGTTGAAAATTTATCTTTGAAGGGAGCAAATATTTCAGCTTCCTAGGACAGTGAAGTGGTTGATTACTGTTATGTGTTATTCGTAGATTCCTTTGCCAGTCATACAAGAGTAAAATAAGTGAACGTACTTACAAAAAAATTCTCCTAACTTTTGCAGTATTAAAATAGTTTTGTTATTCAAATCCAAATTATAAACAACACATATATGTATTTTATTCTAGGATTAATTAGTGTCTTAACTTACTGTTTTACGTCTTATATGCTCCTTTAAGTCGATACTTTGCTTTAAAGTTTCAAATGTGCATTCAGAAATTTTTTTTTCTTTTCCTTTAGATCTTATAGATTTCCTTTTAATTTCTAAAACTCCGTGCATTTTTATCTAACAAAAATGTTTTTAAATTTATTCTCAAAATTTCCTTAGCTTTTTTTACGTAATAAATTCCTTTTTTATACAATAAATGATTACATAAAAATTAGCTTTAGCATGCTGTCGATTTTATAGCAGATTTTATTGATTTTATATGCTAGACACAAGAGAATTTTTTTTCAAGGAAAAAGAGAATAACATTTTTTCAAGGCATATTCTGCCAGGACTTCCGCTAGCAAACAGTTTGACAAATTTTCTACTTTTTGCTAAAATATTTGTTGCATGCATCGTTTACATTTAGAAGAATGAAAAATAAAATGTCAAACTTTATTTCTTATCGTTTTATGACTTAGCTGGAAAATTCTGTAGACCTGATACTATACAGACACTTCTGTCGAAAAAAATGTGCAAATCTGAAAATAATTTATAGTTGTATTTTCCTTTTCCTATTCTTCTGTGCAGGAGGATGTGAAAATCATTTTTTTCCTGAAATCTCATTGTTTTATAGCAGGGTACAATAGTTATGCTTTTTTCATGTTTTGATAATTACATGCCCTCCTCTCTTAGCTTTTATTCATCTAGCTAAACTGGTATGAGTAAATTCTTAGTATATGTAATACATCGACCAAATACCTTTAAGATAATATCTATTAAAATGCATTTATGTTTTATATATCAAAGCAAGACAGACATTATGATAGCGCTTCCAATGTTACATGAAATGAAATTGGATACATTTGGCAAAGGGATTTAGTCGTCTTGAACTGCTTCAACAGAAGCACTTCCGAAAATAATTGTTATTCATTCAGAAAGTATGAAGATTTTAATTATAGTATTTATTTGGCAATTTATCGCAAAATTCTGCGTTTTTATAAAACTAGTTACTTTTTACGAATTAGAACGAAAACAGGTTTAAAGCAATGTTTTTAAATATTTAGCTGTGATAATTTTCAAAGGAAAAAAATCAATGTTCCTGATACTACGGTTATGTCCCAATCCATACAAAAACATATCATTATCTAGATATTTAATATGATTACATTAATCCATTTCTTATTTAATTTTAACTTATTTAATTAAATTAATAAGTAAGAATGCATTAACAAAGCATCAGTTTAAAGATTTCTGAATTTTCCGGTTTAGGAGGTTTTAATATTTAAGTGTATCTGTTTTAGTAATGAATGTATTTGAATGTATGCGTAGATAATTTTAATGCATAATCTTTCTATAGCTCAACTAGCTGTATTTGCTTCTATTTCCAGATATTTGCAAATGCGTGAGGACTGTGAGACGGATTATAATAATTGTAAAAAGAAGACGATATCGGTAACCGAATCTCTTACTGAGAAAGCCAGTTCTCGAGAACAGAGAGAACTTCTTCATCTCCTTACTCGAGTTTACGAGCTTGAAATAGAGAGTATCCTTGATTCTAAATAAGTTTTATTTTAACCGAAATCAAGCTTTTATTTCCTACCTTTTCTGGATTGTTTAATTTATACTCCCAAAAGTATGCTCATCATATCGTCGTACTGACAAATACCTCAGCTAAAAGCAAATATCTCTAAGATGAAAATAATAAAATAGGAGAAGTGAATGGAACATAACTTATTTTTAGAATATATACAGTTCAGAATCATAAAAAAGTATTCAGTAATGTTATATATATCTGTAACAAATCATTTTGCCCTTTAGCTTTCTTGTTTCTTACTTTTTACTTGTTCTTTCGTTCCATAAGGAATTTTACTACTTTTATATTGTATTAAAAACCAAATTGAATAATTTTATAAAGTCTCCGAATGGCGTTTATTTTGATGAAGGTTGTAACAATTAAAAAAACATAGTTTTGACTTTCTACAAAAAAAAACAAAAAAAAAAAAAAAAAAAAAAAAAAAAAAAAAAAAACTGTGGTTATTTATGCTCTAAGGAATTTTTTCCTAGAATGTTGAGTGTATCAAGACCCCGAATTAAAAATGGATTTCGAAATGCTAAGATTGGCCGTAATTTTATAATCTTCATTAAATTTCTGAATTTTTAATTGTGAATTGCTGATTATCCATTCGCAACAAATTTAATAATTGCTGTTTGCTAAATTTGTTCTTGTAAGTTATTAGTTTTTAAGAATGGAAACTCAGTTTTAATTAATTTTCTGATTAAAGAATCTCTACAGTAGAGAAAAAGAAGAGCATATTGAGTAGCACCTTTAAGAATTTAACACTGGCGCGTAACAAAAAAAAAATACTTACACCAAAGACAGTGTGTTCAAAAATTTGTTGTTTTAAGACGTAAGGATGACAGGTGAACTGCATAGCGTTAAGATTTTCATAGCTATAAAATTTTATTTAGTTATTTATAAAATTTTTTACATAGCTATTTATAGCAAAATAAAAAGTCGAATCTTAATAGAAAAAATAGTATTTATTAAAGAGAATAATCAAAGCTGAACATAGAAACCTGTTTTTAAAATAATCATAGTTGAATATATTTTGCCTTAATTAAGTGCTTTAGAGTTGGAAATGCAATCTGCTCAGTTGTGCAGGGATCATGAACTGCGGTGCAGAGATCTAATGATCCTCCGCTACGACAGGCAGCGACAGTTATGCGATGAGATTATCACAAAGCAAAGAATCCTAATTGACTGTAAGTAAAAAATCTTATTTTGATTCATAATATATTAACTAATCTAGCATAACAAATTAGTACAGTTTTCTGGAGGTAATGAAATCAAAGTAATAATCAAAAATATTTTAAGGCAGACTCAAGTTTAATTCTTGTAGAAAAATGCTTTATGCATCTGAAGAGAAATCTGAAATAAGTCTCTAATCTTAAAAGAATAATACCCAAAAAATGGCATAATTTCCAGTCTAAACCCAGTTTACTGTTGAATTTTCCTTAATTATAAAACTCAAATAATGTTCTTGGGTTTTAATTTAATATCTTCTAAAACCAAATAAGTTAGACAATGTTATCCATATATGAATTAATCCTTTAGTTAAATTTTCCACTCTGATTTAAATATAATGATAAAACTTTGGAAGTTGCAAAAGTTAACATCTTTCCTTACGATTCGAATATTTCTGTTTAAAATGCAAATAATATGCATTCCATAACATAAGCGATACACCAGGAAGGATTTATCGGAATAAGACGAAAATCGGTAAATGTGATGTACATATGTATTGAGAACAAAACGCTAATAAGGATTCAATATTTTATTCTTTCTATATATTCTATTCTATTATATATATATTATAATATTAACACAGTTACAAAGAACCCCAAAAAGTTCAATAATACGTTGGCCTACCTCTGGCCCTGACGAAATCTGTTATCCGGCTGGACATTGTCTCGTAGAACTGGCGGATGTCCTCCTGCGAGATAGCTTGCCATGTATGTTCCGATTGGCGACTTAATCGTCGGAATTCCGAAGACGCCTACTCATTAAAGGGCAAACGTGCTTTATTATATTAGAGAGATATCTGGGAAGAGAAGTGTTGGAGAAGTATGAAGACAAGCAGCAGAAAGGCGTACCGTGTGCAACGGGGGATCTTACTGGAATGCAAGATCAGGGATCCGTAAAAAGAAGGGCAACATTGCCAACATCACCAAATGGTAACATCACTTATCAGGACTACTATTTCTCCTTATCTGTTTTGCGAAGATGTAAGTGTCCTGAATAGAACAGTGAGTTTAACTAAACTATGTTCTTTTAACTGTAGAAGAGACGACAAGAAGAGGAAGGGTTTAACTACCCTTTGTTTTTCACAATTTACAGGTGCTGCCGCACTTCAGGATACAAAGACCACCATTTGTGGTCTGAAGAAAATAAGAACTACAACTAACTAAATTTAAATAAAAGCTAAAACTCGAATACTGTACACAGACGAATAACACTAAGATTGGCATTTTAGATTTTTACGTATGTAGTACGCAAACTGCGAGAAAACTACAAGACGTCTTTAATATCAAGAGGACTAAACCTCTGGCCTTAAAGGCGGACTGCAACTGATTGAAAGCACGAGTAAAATAAAGTGGCGAGAAGGCTCACTCTCTCTCTCTCTTTCTAACTCTACTTGGCGAAAAGCCACAACTTAAGTACTTAACAGTTTGCAAGCACAATTTGCATAAACATATTCAAGCATTTATTCTGCGCGGAAGTGGAAATAAGAGAGGACAGTAAAGTTTTAAAATAAAATAAACGTTAGTAAAATTTAAGATCCTTATACACTCTGATCCAAATGTCTAACAATCTTGAGATTTGACCACACTGGTTCCTTTAATGTAGTTGCACATCTTCTCTAAAATGGCGACATCCGCTTACACTATTCGCGAACTCGTCATTGAGGCTTTGGTGAAGTCCACATAGGTTGACAGAGCCACGCTCGCAGGGAAGTTATGTCTTAGCATTGGAATGTCTTTTGTTTTATGTACCCCCCGTATGCTGCGTTGCAAAGAGCTGGAACTCCAGATAGTCGGTCATTTGGCAGCCAAAAGTTCATGATTCGCATATTGTAGTATTATAAGGGCATACGCAGGTTCGTCCCGTTCCATAACTTGTTCTTGGTGCATAGACTTTTTATATTATGGAGTGTATTTTTAAATGCAGAAGGTAACATTTATATCGCGATCAAAATTTGTCACGTTTGAATTTTTATTTCACGATACCTAAGCATAACTGTACTTTATTTTTAGTAAAATAGCTCGTTCATAATAATAGAACTCGTCTGTGTATAATTCTAAAAGAAGTATACTTAATAATGAACTTTCAAATGCCAAAGCTTGTTCAGGTCAAAACGTACTGGGCCTATCAACGGCCGAGTGGTCAAGTCGCTGAACACTGGTAGTTCCAACCTGGGTTCGATTCCAGGCGAACGAGCTGGCTGCACTGGCGTTTTTGCGTTTTCCCCATGTGCAACGTGTAAACGAGCGAGTTTCTTTTAGAAAGACCTCCACGAAAGTATCCTTCCTGTTAAGCAGATAACCTTAACGTGCTTCCGTAATTAAACAACCCAAATCAAATCAAAATTTACTGACTTCCCATGATCTGACAATAATTATTAATTCACAGCTTGCAATCAGACCTCGCTTAAGACTCACGCGACATATACCACTTCAGGTGCATCTAAGTTGTTTTGATAAGCGACAGCTATATGAAGATAAATTTTGCATTGAATTATTAGTATATTTAATTTACAATGAACCAACTGTACTGATCGTCTAGGTCGCCGAAAATGTTGGGATCAAGCATACATGGCATCCAGTCCTAATTATAAATAATACTTTCAATTAAAGCTTCGGTTAGGTCATTAGTAAAAATTTTAAATTCTAAATTAAGCATATTCTTTTGTGTGACAGAACAAAAGTAATAATTACTTTTATGATATTTTTTAGCTTTGGCAACAGGAGAAAAAACGCAGAATGGTAAGTTTACAGTTATTATAAAGCTTCAGATATAAAAACCATAAATTGAATATGTTTCTTAATAATAAATAACTTTAGAAACAATACTCAATTATGCATGTTTCATGTTTTGATAGAAATGTGTCAAAGTGCTACTTACTACAAAGTGGTTCTTAAATGTTATTACTCCAAAGGCGCAATTTGCCCAGAAGGGCTATTAATTTCGTTTTGGTATTCTGTTTTGATTCACTGCAAGCGTTGTTTTACTTTTCAAATTGTTGCCACCGAATATTATCGCCCTGTATTATATTTAAAGAAATTAAATAATGAAGAATCTGCATAAATGTACATATGTTTCTTGCATTGTGATAAACAACGGTACCATCAAATTTTGAGTAAACTAATCCTCCTGCGAAAATGGGCAGCAAACTCAAGGATTTCAAAGCGAGCAATTGAAACGTTGTACGGGAAAAATATTTTTATCTCCAGCGCGAGACTGTGTATCGGAAATTCTAAAGATATGCTCATTTTAAAATTATTTTGCGATATTGCTCTTGAACTGGATTTTATAGTTTAAGTACGAAGAACCCGATATTTAATAAATAAAGGCAACACACAAAATGTTAAAAAAAGCCCCTTTGGACGTAATGTAAAATCTGAAATCTTTCAGATTTGTTTATGTATTTGTTTATTTTAATATTGTTTTCGCTATGATTTCTTACGATGCTTTATTACAATTTATCGCCATTTATAACTGAACAGATTGCTTAGACTATAAAGCAATGCACAATTACTATGAATACATTTTCACATAAAATTCTTTAATAAAGAACATATTTGTGAGCTAAACACTCTACAAATTTGAATAATATTTCGAAAAAAAAAGGAATTTTCATTTACACTTAACCATAATGTTACGTATATGAAATAATAATACAGCAATATCTCGCATTCCCCTGGTAATCGGTCCCACAGTATACTGTGAAACCAGGTTGTCGAAGAACTAAATACATACAATAAATTGTAATTTCGCCCACATCCGCAAAAAACATTTTTATCTTGTTTTTCTATAAATAAAACGTGATTAGTAAATGTAAATGTCTTTATGAGAAATAATTTTTAAGTATGCATGTTTACCTGATATATTTTTTTCTTAATTTTTTTTAAATATTTCTTTTCATTAAAAACTTCAATATCGATGTTTTCTTTGTGGGCTTTTCCTCGTCATACGTTCCTTTACAGCAACAAATTGCATTGTTTAGTATCGGGAAATCGTAGGTTAAGTTCAATGTTAGGATCAGCTTCCATAATACGCTCTGAGATTTCATGCATTCCATTAATTTTGTATAGTTGTTCAGCTATTAATTCTCTCACAAGCACTTCAACACAGTAGTCGCTTTTTCTGAATTGCCTTCCTGTTCTACATAAATTAGTTTAGACCAGTCAATAAAGATGTATAAAGTTTAGTCATTTCAGCAATCATAAATTGCAACCAAACCATAGATAGACTTTAGACAGCGAATTATCGCTAAGTTTAAAACAATAACTGATCCTTGAAAAGTGTGTAAAAGATCTTTTTATTAAAACTAAAGAAGAACAGAAGGCACGGCTGGTACTTACAACTTAGCACTTAATGGCAAGCTAACTTAAATAACAGTAAGTTCAAACTTTAAAATAAGCTACTAGTCAAAGACTAAACAATTCAATTTAACTCGTTGTTGGCTCACAACCTAACCAGGGTAGATATTCAAATTTCAACAATTATAATGCAAAGCCGAAAGCTACATGAGTTAGCAGCAGCTTATCAACAATAATGGCAATAAGCAACTTATCGGAGTAACGTAGCCTCGAGAGGCGAGGCAGAACACGATCTGTCCTACCATCCATAAACCTCAGCAAAATACTCGCGAACTAATTTGCATTCTAGCGTGGAAACGGGAAGGAGAAATGACAGTAAAGATCTAAATCATAAAATAAATGGTTACGTAACATAGAGGGAATTATGTTAGGTACATAATAAAGGACCAATGGCAACACAGAGATTAGGTGCATAAATCACACTTTCCATAGACGGTAGAAGATCACAGAAGATCATGTGCAAATTATTGCTTGTGGGAAAAACTTTAATAAGCAGATTGTTTTTTAATCAGATGCCCGCGCATGCTAACCATATGACATTTACAGGGAAACAAAGAGGTGAATTGAGAAAGTTGTTTTATCTGAACAGAGGAAATGCTGCCGAAGCTGTGCAAGTTTATTGGCAGAATCGTAGGCTAAGATGAGGTCTCTGTTCCGTAAAATCCGCACGTAATTTGGTAGAAACATGTGAAGAAACTGGATTTGCATGTGATAGACTGCGATTTGGACGACCATTTGTTACTGTTGAAATTTTTGCTGAAATACGTAATACAATTACTACAGGTCCATTGCATGCTGCATTCCTCTTGCGATGTTACGTTCGCCACTGTTCTCAACAATTACCGAATGCAATGCGTTATCGTCTGCTAAGATGGGCATGTTGAAAACTTGTGATTCCAGTAAAAAGTTTCTTTCCTCTTCTCGCTTGTGCTGTCATTGATTGTCATTGGTCATTAGTCATGAAGAGCATTGTTTGAAAATATTTTTACGCCAGCAGTTTTCGTCCTACGTATATGTTTCTAAAGCCATTTATAGTTTCTCAATGCGCTGATCAATTTATGCAGGAAATAAAAAAACGTGGGTGTTACCATTCGAAAATTTCGAAACGTTTTCATTGCAACTTTAGCCGTGAAAGTTTTATTGTTTTAAATCCTCACAATCTCGAGCGCATAACACTTCAAATAACAATATCTGAAATTTCATTTCGTTGGTTGAGTGGATAGACCGCTAGGGGTTCATCTGTTGCGGAAGTTTTTTTTTTTTTTTTTTTTTTATTTTATTTTTTTTTTATTATGACTACGCTGCATAGCCTCTGGAAGATTTGCTCCTTTAAATTATAGAGCAAAGGTTTAACACTATTGTATTCGTACCAATTCTGTTTAAAAGTGCTCATGTTTTGCTTAAATTAATAAATATGTGTTATATTAATAAATATCTCTAATATCAGAATATCATGATATATATACCAGTAAAATATTTATATTTATTCTGAAACGCAACATTAATGTCACAATGACTTAACTGTGTATTTGGTGGATACGATGTATTATGATGTCAGGGATGCGATGTACTATGATCCCAATTGTAAATTTTGGACCATCTTATGCACTTTCATAGTGCATTAAAGCAAAATTCTGACACCATCTTATGCACTTTCATAGTGCATTCGATTCTGACACCATCTTATGCACTTTCATAGTGCATTAAAGCGAAAGAGAACAAGGTACCCAAGCAATTAGACAACATATTTGGCTGCTAGGTAGAGCTAAATAGTATGTCGCAAAGGTAAGGAAAGTCGTCATTTTCTTGTGCGATCGCAAACTCTTTCTCGTGTAGTTAATTCATAGATTTAACTTATGTTGCATTATAGAAATACATTTTATGTCAAATATTACCTGATTGATACACATTTCAAAACAATGGAACCTGCCAAAAATATTTCGAAAGTTCAAAGCTATCGAGTTTTTTCTCCTGTAATGTTCGTCAACTGATTAATGGATGTCCTAAAATCGTAGGTAATGAAGGAGATTATTTTTGCCAGAAATTTCATCTGAGCTTAATAACAAGTTCTGTTTGTTTGAAAAAATAAGACAATTTATTTGCTTTTGCAACGAAAATTTTGATATCATTTTACCGTAGGTACAATATCTTATATGAAATATATGTGTATTCCGTTTTTTAAATTTAGTTCTCGGGAAACATTTCACAGCTGATTTCTACTAGATAGACAGCTCTCTTTTACATTTCACAGTTGATTTCTAGTAGAATATGCATTGACATTATAATAATATAATATACTAATCAAAAATTTGTTTATACGCAGCAACCGCAAGGAGAGAACTGAATGAATTGTATCGAATTTACCAACAAGAAATACAGGAATTAAGCAGCGGCAGAAATTCTAGCCAGCTTAGTCTTTATGGAAATCTTTATAGGGTAAATAAAAGTTATATATTCTTAATAAAGGAATAGACATAAGTAGTGGACATATAATGAATGTCCTTACGAAAATAGTAATTTTTTTTTCCTATCTCACTTCGTCAACGATGTATCGTAATAAAAATGCTTTTTGTGAATAGATTTCGTAATTTATAACGTATTTTGTAAAACTTGAACAATTGTTGAAGACTTGATGTTTATATCATTATTTTAGCCAACCTCTAGTGGACTGCGTCCTCTTGGCAGCAGTGGCAGTATGCTGGAGCTCCATCAACTTGATTCTAATAAATACACTGACACTACTGCTTCCAAAAACCCCAATCCACTTCCTCCAATAGGATCGCACAGGTAATTTATTTTAAATCTCTGCAACAACGAAGTCTGCCTAGAAATCTGTGCTAGTAAACTGTAAGTATTTCATTAGGTTTTCAGATTATATGTGAACATCTTCGAAATATTATAAAAGGTATTTACAGTGCTTGCATCGTTATGATTAATCGAGTACCTAAGCAAATTAAATGCACTTCACTATACATATATATATATATATATATATATAATGAAAAACTAACGAATAAATACAAAGCAAAAAGGAATTCAATATACGAGAAACGAGAAATGATTCGTAAAACAACGGCTAAGGTGGAAGTTACACATTAAAACGCATTGACAAATTAGAATTGTTGAATAATTTTATTTGCATGATTGTACATATCACATCGAAAGCGAAAAATCGGTTTCAAGAGTTTTGCGGCGACATACCGCATAAGAACCATTCATCAAAGAAGTTCGGAACTGTCGCGAGACTGGCGCAAAACATGTTCAATATGGTGTCCACCGTTGTGTGCAACAAGTTGAAAGCGACAAAACAGCATGTTCCACAACGGATCGCAGTGTCTCCGGGGTGATGTTTAGAATGTGTTACGAAATGCGTGCCTTTAAATCCGCTAAATTTGCAATTGGAGCACGGAACACAACATCCTTCAGATATCCTCACAGCCAGAAATCACACGGAGTAAGATCAGGCGATCGGGACGGCCAGGCTGTAGGGAAATGACGGCTGATAATTCGAGCATTTCCGAAATGGCGCCTCAGCAGCTGCTTCACGGGATGTGCAATGTGCGGAGGAGCGCCATCTTGCATAAAAATGATTTCATCCACACATCCATGCTGTTGCAGAGCTGGAATCACGTGGTTGCGCAAAAGAGATGCATACCTCTGACCAGTGATGGTTGCGGTAACAGGACCGGAAGCACCCGTCTGCTCGAAAAAATATGGTTGTAGGATGACTGATGCCGTAAAGCCACACCATACCGTGACCTTTTCAGGATGAAATGGTACGGGGTGCGTTGCCAGTGGATTTTCTGTTGCCCATATTCGACAATTCTGGGTATTCACGTATCCTGTCAGATGGAAATGGGCTTCATCTTTCCACAAAATTTTCCACGCTCATTCATTATCCAGTTCCATGCGAGCCAGGAATTCTAACGCAAACGTCTCCCTAGCTGTCAGGTCAGACGGAAGCAACTCCTGCACATTGCCAATTTTGTACGGATAGCATTGCAGGATGTTTCGTACAATTTTCAGCACCGTGCTCGTAGGCCTGTCCAATGTTCGGGCAATTCCTCGGGCACTGCACGGTTGCACACCACCGGCCGACTCCTCCTGTAATGCTGTGGCCACTTCTTCAACTACCGTCGAATGCACTCGTTTTCTCCCTCTACCAGATTGCACATCAAACGAACCTGTCGTTTCGAATTTTTGCATCATTTTCTTTAGACCTACGACACTCATTGGACCAACGCAGTTCTTTTATACCCTTCAGTGTCCTGAATTTTTGCAGAGCTGCTCTTGCACAATCATCATTCTTGTAATACAGCTTTACGAGCAGAGCGCGGTCCTGCAGTGAAACACCCATGGCGAACGCCTGAGACGCGAAATGAGGAATAGCCTGGTACCTGGCGGCTTTATAACACTGAAATTTAACTAACATTTTAATTATAAAAATCAGCTTGCTTTCCGTAGAAAATCCTACACGATACTTCTCTGTTAGGAGGATAAGGAAGCCAGTATGCCACAATAAACTTTCTACTTAAATACATCCGACATTTTTTTTAAAAAATTCGATCCGACTTTCTTAAAAATAAGCAAAAATGGCTTGCCTATATACTAAAAAAATATTCTGCAGTTATGGTCATTAAATAGTTTTCTAGAAGATAGTTTACATTGTTGTTATATTATTTAATCCACTGCGTAATTATATTTTTCTTTCTTATTATATTAGTGAAAATGGGGAAGACAAACGCTTGTTTCAAAGGAGGAAACGTGAGCCATTTCGTCGTGGTTCGGATGATGATTGCTATGGAGGTGCTCACTTACCGCCCCTATCTAACGGGTCTCTGGAGTTCAGGAACCGTCGAGCTAATTCCAGATTTTCTAACTCCTCTTCCAATTCTTCCACATTCATATCAGATCAGAGGTATGAATGCCTGAGGGTGTTTTAGGTAACTCTTAAAATGTATTTATAATGAATTCGTCTGACAAATTTATGTTCACACCTGAATAACCTAAATTATTTACAAAAAATTTCAGTATTATTCTGCTCATTTTTTTAAAACTGTAGTATCTCTCACAGTTTTTCTACTTTTCAGATTTTAAATTTTAGTATGTACCATTCTTGCAGTGGTTTATAGAGTTTTTTTTAACTTTGATAGGAACAAATTACCATACATCCATTTATAGCTGTGAATGATTTATTTTCAAATTTTAATTTGTCCTTAAATTAGGCAAATTTCAGCGTTTGGTATAAAATTGGTTTTAGAAAGAAACACTGTATCCGAATCTCGGGAGAAAGTAGCAGGATCTTTCTTATCTAAGAAGTAATTCCATTTTGCCTGAAATACATCGCTTAACAAAGGAAATGGATGAATAATATGAGTAAAAGTATAATAAAATAGCTTTCATTTTATTCCAGTTTTACCTAAATCATAAAGCTTTGTCTTATACATTTTAAAACTTTTTGTCTCTATTTTGATTTAGAAGGTGCTATGACTGTTGATTTCATTCATTAGTTTTTATGTTTTGCTATATAAGTGCCATATTTCCGTCAAAATAAAACAGAATAGCTCTACCCTTTGATGAAAAGAAGTTAATGCCCCATTCCCTTGAAATGTATTAAGTTCTCAAAGTAAACTAACATCATTATCAGGCTAAATTTTTATCTTTAATAATTAAGTTCAATTATTTAATTTAGTTCACCTAATTTTAAACTCATATACCTTCCTTCAATGGATCGGATGTACTATTTAAAAGTTTTTGCAGTTTTCTTCAATGAAATAATGGAACACATTTGTTGGCTCTCAATCTGCAATGCCTTCTCCTTTATTGTGCATAATTTTCTGCTATCTACTGGATAATTTATAGCACAATCCATCTATTTGTTGCTGAGGATGAAATTGTTGTCCTCGATGAAGATCTTTTACATTTTCGATTTACGCTTCCTACTAAAAATTGTATAATGTGCAAAAAAGTCATACTTTGTTGAAATCTTCCCTGTGTTGCGGTCTAAATAGTCAGTATAGTTAGTCACTACTCTCACATTACAAATGGTTAAATTTTGAATGTCCACTGTGCTTCAGTCTGATCTTACCTACTTTCTCTTCATAATTGTAGCTAATCCGTTGAAGATGAGGAATGCGATACATACGCCTACGTAAGCTTTCTGTGATTTCCTCTTCAAAAACTTTGTTATAGTCATGGAATACCATTTCTTAACACTCACCAGCCATGAGCACTTTCTCCTAGAGTACGAATAGCCAATTAAGCCGCTAGAAATACATCTCCCTATTTTGCGTTTGATACGGGGATAGTAGCTCCCACTATATCCATGTTCGTGAATCTCAACAAACACATAAGATATCCTTTTGCAGATGTAAGCTTTCATTCCTGATTTTGTAGTTTGCCTGGTGTAGAATAAGCCCTTCAATTTCTGAAGATCGTTCAGATTTGCTTGACCTTCAAACAGTTTTTCATCGGTTGACATTCTAACAGAGGACGTATTTCTCAGCACAAAAATTTCCAGATGCATTCTGGCTGGCAAGTTTTAAAACTCAAATACAGTCTGTTAACAATTCAGTCTCTTCTTTCCTATTATTAATATGGCACCCTGGGATCCAGCTATATCACAAATCTCAAGTCATGACAACCTCTGCGCTAAAGTACTGTGAAGCCTTTTCTAATTATGTCAGTATAATCTTGTCGTCGTTCTCGATGGCTTCTAGCAGGTCCTATCTTTCAATTCTTGAAGTCTTAGTTGGATTTCGAGTTTTCTCTGCTCATTACGGAGCATAAAACCAATACTGACATGCACATTATCATTCAGGATCATTTCCATATATATATGTATTTTACCATATGCTTCTTCTGAATCATTGGAACAATAACATCTGATACACTTCGCATTTCTCTAGACATTTAGAAATCAGAACTTAGATGAGAAAGAATAGCTCATAGAGCTTTTCTCCCCGAAAGAGGACATGAGAAGTCATAACGTAGTCATGCTGACACTGAACGCGGAGATGCAATTTACAACAACATAGAAATTAGAGTTTTAAATTTGAAGAACTAGCGTTTAAACTGAACTGTGAAAAATAGCTATAATTTAGAAGAGACAATGTTATTGCTGTATGTGTTTTACACTGATCATTAAAACATTTAATAATAGTTACTCAGTTTTAAAATAATATACAAAATGCGCCGATACTCTTTTAACATAAAGTTTAGCTTTTTTTAAAAAACATGTTGGGTTTTTTAATGTAGGTTTATTTATAATAATGTTTTATCTGCATACTAAGAGAAATCTACTATTGCTTCTAAGATAACTATAATAACAGCTATTTAAAGTTCGTCAAGAAAAAACAACCTTAGATTGGCATAGTTTTAAACATATATGGCAGTTATATTTTCCGTGCTGCTAAAGAACTTATGTTTGATTGCCCTTGAAATCGGTAGCTTTATTCAAACTTTCTGCTATTCTAAGGTTGAGTTTTTGCCTAATTGTAAATTTTACCTTGGCTAGCACAAAAACGAGTCAATAATTAGTTACAAAGAATACAATAAGAATAACTTTAACAAGTGCTTAACAAAATCAGTTCTCATTTGAAATATGCTTTATGCTATTAACTTCTAAAATGTCATCTAGAAATATTTCAAATCAAAACATATTATATTTAAATGCAAATGCTTACTTGCACAGTCACACTCCAACTTCAAGCTTTTCAAATTGCAAAACAAAAGCTATTATTTATTGGCTGCCACAATTCGAAGCAATCTCCACTTTTGTCTTTTGAGTTGCTTTCCTTTGGGAAAAATATATGCATTTCTATTTAAGAAACTTACCCTAATAAAAGTTCGCGGTCTGTAAAATAAACGAAATGCATCTCTATTAACTTCAGGATAATGTTTCTCCAGTTTATTAATTAAAGAGCCAGTTACATCCTTCCCTTTATAGTAAGTTGTGCTATGAACTGCACAAAATATTTTTAGAGCTCGTAAACTGTGTTTATCCATAAATGGGAAGGTGCAGTCATGCCTTGTAAGGACAATAATTTAATCATTCTGAATGAAATGTTGTTTCATCAGTACTATTTTTAGATATTTTTCCCAATGATGGGTCTTTGTCACACACACGGTAGGCAATATAACCTGCAACATATGTTAATGCTTCTTTTTCTACGGTCAAAAATTGTCTTGCGGAATTCAATTCTAATTCCCAAGCCATAGCATAAGGCTCCTCTATAAAATTCAAATCCAAATTATCAACAGTATTTAATGGAAAAACATTTTCCTCCTCAGTTTTCAAAGTCTTTTCAAATGATTGTGATGTTAATATGGGTCATTAAACCTACCAAGCCCTCAAATCTGACTAAAGAGACTTTCAAGTGAATTCTGAGTTAATCTAGACTTTAAAATATATTTAGCATCATATGAGGATTTCAAATACTGGTGTAGGCCCAAACCAGAATTTATTGAAATTATTATTCCTTTTTGGAAGGACAGTATGTTAGAGTTTCCCTGAAATCTTAATCCACTGATGACTTTCTTCATTAATTTGAAACTTTGAATTTGTTTCTCATGATGTTCATTTAATCCAAATGCTGCTTTAAGTGTTTTGTCTGTGGGAGAGTATGGCTTGGGACTATTCATAACATCGAAAAAATTATCAGTTAACTCAAAGAAGTCAGATGCTTTATAATTTCCTGTGAGGTGGAGTATACATTTTGCGGTAGTTGGTGAAAATAATGTTATCTTTGAAGCCACTTTTTGTCTCTCGTTTTCCTTGACAATAAAATAATTCGGTTTTAATTTGTGACATAATTTATTTCTCTTGAATCTCCATATAAAACCTCTTTAATAACATCAACATTTAAAACAGTTCTATCTTCTAAAACGAATCCTTTATTTAAAAAGTGGTTTCTCATTAATTTGAGGTAGGGCGCTAAATCTGCAAAAATCCTTATTTTTTTGTTTGCAGTGCGAGTTTTTTTTCGTTTGCAGGATTTGGAAAGTGAAAACTATTAACCGAAATCTGTAGCTCTTTCCACAAAGCACTAGATCCTCCTAAATCAGACAATATGTCTTTCACTTCGAATCCAGATGTCTGAATATGTTTGGTTGTATCCTCTGCGAAATGAGACCTCTAACTAAAACAAACTGCATGCAAGAATATCGCTCTGAATTACTGGACTACACGAGAATTTAGTGCACCATCTCCTTAATGTGCTAGTACTAAGTAAAGGAGTTCCTATTTTTTTTCTTTTCCCAAAATCGAAGCATTTAGATGACAAACCTCTTATTACAATGCAACGTGAAATATCTTCGCTAGCCCACCTTATTTTTTGCCTTCTTTTTTAGGAATGCATTAATCTGCGTCTCTGTAAAAATATACTTTAGACGTTTTTCAAAATTCTCCGATCTGTGCTGTTTTTTGTTTTCTAAATTTTGCCATTTGAGCCTCTAATTTTTTAATTTCAGATATAAATTTCTTTCTAGGTGACGTCCACTTGTTTTGTCACTGAGCAAACATTCTAATTTTTTTTCTCTATTTTTCAATATTTTAATATAATTTTCTAAAGATTATTCTTTTGTTCTTCAAATTATCAATACATTCTTCTTTATCTTTATAGTTACGGCATTCGGGAATATTTACATTGCCATTTGTGAGTTTTATTTCAAACTGATTCACATTTGATTTCTTAATGTCATCATCAATTTCCTTTTCGGCCTCAAAATGATTTTTTTTTTTGCCTTTAATTCGTATTAGTCTTTCAAAAGTACTCTATATTAGTTTTCTTTCCTCTTGTCACCGAGTGTTTGGTGTTATTTCATTTACTGCACACGGTAAATTTACTTTCGGCACAGCATTGCATTTCAGAAGTTTCTTTGGCGATAATCCAAGTAAGCGATTTTTCATGGCATTTTCATAATCACTGCAAATTCTTGCGCTCTTCACATTAATAGAACCCTGTCCTTCTGTCTTATCATTTATGTATCCATTCTTTCGTCAAAAGGAAACTGACCTTTGGAAAGCATGAAATATAATATCTCTCCATGTAGTATTTCTATAAGTGTTACGGCACGTGGCCTGCAGTGCAAGAAGCCATATTACATAAACGGTACTTTACAATGTAGAATTTAAAAGGAAAGCTGACTAAAACTATATATATACAAATTATTTTTAATATATACATTGTTCGAAAACAACTATATATGATTAAAATTAATTTGGGATATGCGACCTCCAGAAAGTCACCTCGCAATTGAATGGAACTACAGTTTCAAACGTGCGAAATCAGAGCAGATGCAACACAGTGACGTCAGATTACTTCCGGTTAACTCCCCCTGTGAGGCTCGCATCGGTGTAGATCAGCTCAAAGGAATGAACTAGCCCTTTCTATTTAAACCCTGCTTAGAAATAGTGTCCGTAACCCAAACCAAGCCAGACAGGACAATATATAGTTCCACATTGCTCTGATGCATCCTAATAAACAAAAAAATAAGTTTCCAAGATCTGAACGGTTACCAATATAAAACTGAAAAAACATTTGCACATATCTAATATTTAAGTTAAATATTTTAAATTTTATATAATAGTTAAAAAATTTAGTTCTTTTCTCAGATGAAAATTACCAGTTTCTCGCCGTAAAACTAGTTCCTCATCAGGTGTGGTTGATGTAGCAAAGTTTCACCGAAAGAAATGTATTTATTTTCATATTTGATCAATAATCTGATATTTTCTTATTCATTATCTTTTCTTTTAATGTGCTAGTGGTGCTATAATCCATTTCTTAAATTTTTCTGTCTGTTGTTAGGTCTATTTCTCTCAGCAGTCCATTTGAGTATACATCTTATTCAAATAGCAGTCCAAACGGAAGAAGCAGTGACTGTTCTGATCGCCAAGTAAGATTCATAATAAAGAAATTCAGAAATCTTTTTTAAAAATTTTATAGTCAGATGCTAATTTTATTTTTAGTTTCAAGGATGTACTTTATTGAATAACCTTAATCTTCTTATTAAGGTGTTTTGTGTGTTGTTCTTATTTTGATGATTTACATAATTAAATTAATAATTTATAATTTCCGTGTTTACTCGAAAATAAAGAGCTCTCGAATGCATGACTTTTCTTATATTGTAGGATAAATGTTAAGAAATAAAAATATAGGTGAATTTTCATTTTGTATTGCAGTAATTCTAAGAAAGGGAATTTTGTTTTTTTTCCCCAGTCCATCACAATCTCCTTGAAATAACATCGTTAGAGGTAGTAGCCTAACGCTATTGTTAGAATTAGATTGGTTTTAGACATATTAGTGACTAGTATTGTAGATGTAAGCTTAAACTGAAATGCTTAAGTTATGTAATTATATGGTAATTATATAATTACATATAATCACATATTGCATGGTAAATGGTTACGTCATAATTACGTGATTTTATATAGATATAGTGTAAGGTTTTGTTTAATGCTTTAATAAGTTATTTTATGTTTGGAAGCTCCACTGTCCCTTCTCTCTTTCCGTTTTCCCGCCAGAATGCAAATTGGGTCTCGCGTGTTTAAGTGGGGATTGGAGATAATTAAGTCACTGCGTGTTCTGCTTCGTGAAGGTAACGTTACTAGGTTGGCTATTCGTTTTCTTCGGCGTTGCTTTACTTCTTGCCCATAGCAAAATTACCGCCGATGAAGTTCGAGCCAATCGCAATTAAATTGCTCTGTATGGCCTTTTGCTATTGGATATTTAAATTTAGCATTCATCTGAAATTATGCTTTGAGTTTCTCTCCATAAATTCTGGCGGATTTGTAAGCACCAAGTGTGCCTACTGTTCATCCATTTTAATTTAAAATAAACAGTCTTTTACGCCCTTCTTAAGTCTGTGTATATTTAGACATAGCGATAAGTCGCTTTGCGTCTATCAAATGTTTGATCACAGTTTACAGTGAACGATGTTAGACCTTATTATATATATATATATATATATATATATATATATAGATAGATAGATACTGTAATTATCTATGGGGTTTAGATTAAGCATCGTAATCATTCTGCATAGTCATACTATTGTCATACTATGCAGAGAATTATGCAAAGAATGCATGAAGATACTATGCAAAGAATTTAATTAAATTCTTCCTCTCATTCTACTATCAGCGAAAGTAATTAACTAAACGGGCAATCCGTTTCAATTAAAAATCGTAGACAAAAGCCAAAACGCGATTATAAATCATGGATATTTTATAACTCTGAGTAAGAATGAAGAGCTGTTATAACAATGTCATTATAGCCGCAGAATATAACCCTGTTATAGTAAAAATTTGCACTGCTTGATCTGAAATACTCCACTTTAGTTATGTTTTTTTTTTTTTTTTTTTTTTTTTTTTTTTTTCTGATGTAATTTGTTCTTTGGCCTTGAAGTAGTTCTAATTTATTAGTATAATTTCCAAACTTCATAGTATTCTGTTCTTTGAATATAATTTTGATTTTCGGCCACCCGCTGATAATAAGAGATTATGGAATTCGATAGCAAGAGGAACTGCAAATCAATACGTAAAGTGCAAGTACTTGTATTAAAAACATTTATAAAAACATCGAATGCTGTATACTAAGGGAGATTTTAAGTCTGTCCTTTATGTAAACATTTACCTTTGAGGCAATATTTAATAACTATAAAATCTAACCCTTATATTAGGAAATCGAACTCATAACTTTTATAATTAAGAATAATTCATTTTTATTGGACACTTGATTAATATATTAACTGTTATAATTTTACTTATACAAATATTATAATTATACTTTATTAAGTATTAAAAATTTATTAATGTAGAATTTTGTTACGGACACTCATAAAATTAATTACAAATAACATGCATATATTACGTAGTCTTATAGCTTATTTACAAAAATTTCAATTCTTGCAGAAGCTGAAAAGATTAGAAGAATCAGAAGAGCCGCTGAGGAAAAGATACGGTTTGCTGCCTTCGCTCAGAATACGTCGCGGTCGAGGAACAAGTTCAGATTCTGAGGTTCTTGCATACAATAAATTGAAAAGTGAGTTAAATATTTAAAGTCGATTTTGTATTTTCTTGGAGAATTTTGTTTTTTAATAAATGAATTCCTATATTAACCCCTTAGAGGAAATAGTAATTTTTTTTCCACTGTAGGTATTTGTTTGCCACTCTTTTTGAATTCAAACGTTAGAAAATTTTGACTTCACATTCGAAAAATATTTTCGAAGTGATATTTTGCTAAGAAAGAACATTATTAACTTTTCATAACCTTGATGTATAATAACGACTTAATACACACTCAAAGCCCAGAATTTTAATATGTTCACTTACAGTATACCCTTGCCGAATGCGGATATGCGGAAAGCTATTGTGCGTTTACGCGTTATGTTATCTATCTCCATTTAGTTTGTCCAAAGGGAGAATTTCAGTTCTACGCGGTGCACTATGTCGACCGCTTTGCGATGGTTTTCTTTAAAGATTGGTTTGAAAATTCATTCATTAAAGAAGTCAAACTTTATTTAGGACTACCAAACCTGAGCTACCCAATTCTCAATAATGCTCTAGGATTTTTCTCGGAAAAATTCCTCCAGGAGACATTTTGAGTCTATATTTCACGTTAATAATACAGTTACTTATTCCATTAGTTTCTTAAACCAACTGCTATTTCACTTTTAACTACTAGTGCTTGTTCTGGTAATGTTCTTGTAATGCAATCCATAAATTTCGTGTAGCTTGTATTTACTTAGTAGCTCAGGTAAAATTTCTTTTAGCCCGTTATCCCATATCATGATCCGCTTCTTGCTTCTCATTCTGCAGTTTCTGGTAAAAAAAATGAAATGTTTCTCTGTCTCCAACTTATGAGCTATAAGGCAATTGAAATAAAATTCTTTCCAAGCCTTTAACGAATTAGTAAAAAAAATCTCTATAAATAAAACTATTTTTAGCCTTTTAGCTTGTTATCATTGTATAAGAGCAATTACATAGTTTGGCATTCAGACATTTGCATTTTTTATTACTTTTATGTTGCTTTATTAATTTTTACTGTACTTAACTACAGCCTGCAGGGATTGTACTGATAAACGCACGAGTCACTACGATTAATTTTGAGATTAAGTTCATTACTAAATTTGAATTTATAAATTATATCGTTATCAGTTCAGAAACAGGCTTCATCTTTTCGTTGATAGTTCTTTCTTAGTTCTTTCATTGCACCATACCCTGAAAGATGTACATTACCTTTTCTTTTTCGTTTGCTCTTTTCGCACTTTGTTTAACTGATTTTGCAACTTACAGGCAATTTTTCGCTATGCTTCTCGGTTTTACTGACTTGTACAAAAACAACGAAGTATAGTAATCGTGAAAAATTTTGGGTATTTCTACACACACTGGCCAATGAACTAGAAATCTTTGAGATTTTCATTTGAATGCGTGCTAGGGATGAAGTATGCAAATTTTGTTATGACGTGGGTTACACGTGGTTAGAATGCTAGTATAAGTAAGGTCTACTGAGCTTCAACTGACACAGATCGTTAACCAAGGCTCTTCCCAACAGATTTCAACTCGAACCATGTGCAGAGGATAAGAATGCATAGTCGGGTGCCTGTGAGAAAACCATTCAATTCTGCCATGCGAGAATTCGTTTACAGTGGTATCAGGAAAGAAGACACTGGACATCTGAGGATTGGAAACGGGTAATATGGTCGGATGAATCACGCTAAACCTTATTTTGCACCGATGGAAAACGTCGAATTTGGCAAAAACTCCTTGAAGTCATGTATCCATCTTGCCTTATTCACATTGTGCAAGGGTCTGATGGGAGTATCATGATGCTGGGCATGGTCTGCTGGCATGGAAGTCGTGCTGTGGTGTTTAGCGAGGGTAAACAAACAGCCATGAGATGCTAGATATACTGGCAGATGAAGCGCACCCTGCAGTGTGGCATTTTTACCCTGATAGGCGACGGATACTTCATCGACGATAATGCACTATACATCGTGCCAGAAGTGTTCAAAATTGGTTCGCTGAACATCAGTATGACTTTCTACATCTTCACTGGCCACCGCATAGCCTGGATCTTAACCCCATAGAATATGTGGTGGGTATGGTGGAAAGACGCATCCGACAGCACCCTCCTCTTCCATCTAATTTATAAGATTTAAAAAGTTACATAGCCAATGCTTGGTATTCTCTGGACGTAAATACACTCAAGCATGTAGACTCGATGCTCAAACGAATCAGAGCAGTTATCCCTGCAAAAGGGTGTCCAATAAGCTATTGATCTTAAGTCCATTTGAACGATTTGTGTTGTAGGATCCATTTGAACGATTTTTTTTTTCGTGACATCTATATGTACGGTCAGAAAAAAGGGCTCGTTTTTTTTTCATATTTTTTCAAAATGGGTTGTTAAATGGATTCAAAATGTATTCAGAAGTGACGTCTGTACTTTCGTACGTATGTATAGTATATCTCGCATAACTCAAAAACGATTTGCTGTGAAAGGTTGAAACTTTCTATATGCGATAGCTATAACATGTAGTTGAGCATTTTTGCATTTTTGTTGCAATCGGATGCTTCAGACGTATGTGTGCATGTATGTATGTATCCTTCCCACTTACTCAGCTCGGGTAAGTGAGCTTGTAGAGATATTAAGCAGATTTTGGAAGCAGGCAAGATGAAAAATATGCAACGCCTTCGCCGGGAATTTAACCACGGACCTCTCAATTACGCGCTACTACACCACGAAGGCTCTCTAAGAAGGCGGAAGAAATACCTTATAAGCTCAGATTTTTATTCTTATATGTAGGTAAATTGTGCACGTTTTGCTTTAAAATTGATTGAATTATGTTGTTCTTATGTTTCTGTTTAGGGTTTTTATTCCTTTAGTTAATTTGTATGCAACAGGTATAAAATTATCAACCATTTAACAGTGTAAGTGGTGCTAAGCCTAACATGTAGCTGCTGCATTGTTTACCCTAGCTGGTGCATTGTTTACATTTGAAGCTTTTAGTAGTGGAGTGAATAAAGTCAGCTGGTGCATCAACTTCAGTGTCTTTTTGTCCAGTGAGACCCAAAGGCAACTTTAAATATTTGTGCATAAAATTTTTTTCCTCCTGCCTGCTGACCGAATTGCTTGTTTTTACGTCGAAAACCTAATTTTAATTGTAAAGATTTTTTAAACAGTTTTAACTGCTTTGGGTGCTTTAGGTATTCTGTATTTTGCAGTTTTAATGAAAATATTTTGAGTTTTATATATTTTTTGCCTTTCCATGAAGTGAAAACTGAATTGATTGAATGAGAAAGATATCTCTAATGAAATTCGAGGGGAAAAGTTTAAATGAAGCGCAGCAACAAATGTGTATAATTTAATAGGCCGTAAAAGGAAATCATGTGGTGTCCATATCATATTTTTTATTATTACATTTGTCTTGCTCCGAATTGAATATGGGATTGTTTTTAAACGTTTTAATTTAAATCTTGAATTCTATATATATGATAATACTGTTGCTGAATGAGACAACTGACTAGAGAAGACAAGAATTATTTTTCAGTCGTGGCTAGGATGTTAGAAGATAGCTGAAAATCACTGCGTAGATGGAATGATGGACCTGCTAAAAGATGTGCCAAATTCAACGCATAATTTATTCCTAGACTTTTTTTATACATGTCTTCACACATCATTAATTTCTTAGAACATCTATTCTTGATTTTTGCAACACTATGGGTTCACAAACTATAAATACCCCAGCAGCGGAATACGCACCTTTTTCTCTTCCATGCTTTTGTTCCGCAAGCATATAATTATTAACCGCTTTGCAAATTTCTTTTTTTGTTTAAAAATGGCGCTTATAGCATCAATAGTGTTGTGAAAATCAAGAATAGGTGTCTTAAGAAATTAATGATGTGTGATTGGAGATATGTATCAAATATATCCAAGAATAAATTATATGTTGCAATCGGCACGTCTGTCTGTGAGTCCATCATTCCAACTACGCAACAGTTTCAAGCATTGGACAAGAGCTTTTACACTGCAGATCATAGAAGATGAAATTAATGACGTAAGTGACGGAATACAGATTCCAGGACAGGGATGTAGGCAAAGCAAAAGCAGGAATTAAAAGGACTATTGCCAATTAAGTTAGTAATATTTATTTCGTATATTATATCTTATATATATGTATATATAGTATATATAGAGAGAGTATTCTTCCCAGTCGCCATTTTCTTTCTGAGACAGGGTGGGAGATAGTATCAGGTCTACAACAGTAGAATAGCGACAGAATAAATTGGTTCTTTTTAATCTTGCCTTATTTTGGTTAAAGTCAATATTAATCATTAAATTATGATGTGATAATAATTATGTTATTTTCTAAATGTAGTAAATTCTTTTATTTGTTTCACTCTTACTCAAGAATTTTTTATTTATATTTGAAATTTCTTACAGCTGCAGGTAAGCATTAAGCACGAACTGTAGGTAAATACTAAGCAGGCAGTTATCACGTGCGTTGCCATTATGGATTAAACAATAGTAGCATCATTTCCTATGTGTAATGATTTTATTATTTGTTCCCTAACTTTATATCGAATAATATCTTGACATAAAACGATACACCTTCTTATTTTCTTCTACCATTAATTTAATTAATCTACTGTCAATATTTCTGCGAGTCTTTCTTCTGCTTCTATGCGTGCCGCATGGAAATAATCCAAGAAGCCAAACTATGGAAATAGTTCAACGTTTTGTTTTCTATTTCTACGCTAACCTTCTCAAGGGCAGTGACAGGGCTAACATTCTGAAGGGCAGACGGTCGATTTTTGGCTGGTCCATATTTGGTGACTTTGCGAACAGCAGCCGAGTAATTTCGTCTTAGAAGTAATAACTTTATTTTATCCTAAAGTAATTACCATTTTATACGATCAGACCAGAAACGTATTTTCCAAGGAGAGTTATATAGACAGTTATTTAGTGAGAATCTGTAGAAAGTGTCTTGCTTTTTGTAAGGATCATTATGCATGCAACCGTGAAATTACCCATGGCCGTTTATTTTTAGCATTTGTATCGTTTCCGGAATATACTGCTATAGCTAAAAGCTACTAAATTATTTGAGAGCGAAGGTTATTGCTCCTGACACTTGGGGTTATCCATTTTTTGAATGAAAAGCACATTCTCACAATATCATGTTTGGATTCCGGCCAAAAAGGCTTTTCCAATAACGAGATTTCTGTTGCATTGTATCATCGGTATTTGGAAAGGGTTTCAGGAATCTTTCGGAATTGGATCAGAGCTTTCAGTATTAAGAGCAGGACAGTTCATTCAATTTGTATTACTTAGTTTTGCTCTTGTTTTGTCGATTGCACATGCGCCTGCGTTAAAAAAAGTAAGATAAATTAATATAAAATGCAAACTTGGTAATTATAACTTGCAAGGGACGAGGAGGGGATGGATATGTTTTAATCTAATTATTAAGAAGGTAAGTTGTCATAGCAAATTTTTATTGTTTATATATTGGGGCTCATAAAATGAATAAATTTTGCAATTGAATCCCGGCATAACAGCATGCATATTACTACGTCATCCTAAAAGGAATTTAAAGCATTGCTCCCGTGCATAGATGCAACATTTAGAATATGAGTTATTCGACGGCAGAGTTATGCCGATGGTGACATCTTTCTCTAAGATGAAACACGACATAAAATTAAAATAAAATATAAGCTAAATATTGATGTCAAAATGATAAAAGGTTATTTAGGAGACTCAATGTTAAGACTTGTGTTCGCCATTACAACTTGTTGACATAGTTTTGTTTTTCTGTCCTTCAAGGATTCCTACATCATACTAATTACAGACATCCAAACATTTTCACATTTGTTGAAAATTTGTTGAAAGTAGTGCTCAATACGTTTAATTCACGTGTATGTTGTCTTTTGATGTTTAACTAAAACTTTTTCACATCTCGAGTTTTAAGAATCAGAAATCCTTTTTCCTTTGGATGGGGCTACATCTCGTCATAAGCTGAAATTAACTGTTAATCGAAGCTGTATCAAATACATTGAGCACACATAGAATACCGCAACTTAGATTAGATGTATCCAGAATGGTTACATCGGTCTGTGTTGAACAAAACAATTTCACGCAGAGTCTGAATATATATATATTAAGTGCTGAATATATATTGGACATTGTCCTGAAAATTAAATATGCTTTTGCAGACTTGTACTTACATATGCTCGAATGGAGGATCATCGTTACGTACACTACTGAAAATTTTCTGGGGCAGAAGAATGAATGTGTGGAGTACTGAACTTAATAATTGCTGCATAATAGGATTGTTAGAGCAGCGAGGTCATGCACTTCTTTCACATCTAGTGAGGCTATATGATTGTATTCGGGTATAGATCATGCTTTGAGGCTTAAGAGGCATATAATGTTTTAAAGAAAAATATTAACCGAATCAGATTTTTACAACATAACTAAAAAACAATGGTAAATATTTACATTTTTTTTTAATTTTCGCAATAAGAGACTTAACAGGCTGTATTTATAACAGTCCGTGACATACTCTGTACTTGTCTTAGCTATGAGTACGAATCACGTGCTTTGATCCTGGATTTTGAATTTGAGGCCAATCTTGGGGACATCAGAAATGTGTTTTTGTGAATGAAAAATTGAGATGGCTATCAGTGCTGTTTTTATATCTGATTATAGTAGTAATATAATGACACAAAGTGAAATAGATGCGTCATCTGACAATTGCCAAACAGGACCGCTTGAGCAGCTTTATTAATATGCTTAAAATAGAATGACGACAATTGAGAGATATGATAAATCTTCTTCAGGACCATAACAGTGCATTTTTCTTTTATCGTTGTGCAACTTAATATAATAGTCTGTAATGTAGGAAATATTCTTCAATATTATAAAAGTAAGTACGCTTAATGTTTTTTTATTTATATATTTGCTACTGCTTTACGTGTGATTTAGTACGCTACTGTTATCGGTTGGTTTTGTTCCAGGCTCATGGACAGTAGGTATAAGGTGACGATACTCGAATTTTTTATTGATTTATTTTCATTTCCGTTGCTCTACAGAAAGAAGAAGCGCCTTTCTTTTCTGTAAAATGCAAAACTCGAGTTGATTTTTTTACTAAATCTATGTTACTTGAGGTTCTTGAGAACTATTTGTAAGCGAAGTTGATGCACTTGCATGTTTTACTGTAAAAAAAGAAAATTTCTAAAATTTCGTTGTTTCAAATCACTTTCGCTGCTTCAAAATTTTATAACTTACTATTTTTTTTTTTCAGAATTACAGAAGGATCCGAGTAACATAAGCACCAAAAAATTCCATCCAGAAGGGCTTAAACACAGAATTGCAGAAGAACGGAGGACAAAAATTTGGGGTAATGGCCAAGGATTTGGCTATTAAATCCATAAACCAATCTTGAAATAAAAAAAAAATTCATTTTCATCGAAATATTTTATATATTGATTCATCGAAAAGAGTTTGAAAAGTCAAGAATGGGAACATTATATTATTGCCAGGCATTTCTTATTTGCTTTACAAATTAAAAGCAACTTGTGCTTCCAAGAAAATGAACTAGTACATATTGAAAGAAATGTGTTTCTGAATTTATAAAAACATTGTGTGCGTATGTAATCAAGCGTTATTTACTGAGCAGAATGAGAAGATAAACAGAACTGCAGTAGTTTGAAGCTGTGTAGAAATATTTCTTTTTAATAACTGCAGAGTTGGCAGAAGCAAAATTTGTATAATAGAAGTTTCTATTCAATATTTTTGTTATGTATAAAACTATATACTTCAACTGATATATTATTATTTTTCGTGTTTTAGTTTTTTATTTCATTTTATTTGTCATGAAATGATTAGCATGAGTTGTATTTTGATGGATGATAGATGGAAGACTGTTTGCTTTCTATGCATTTTGAAAACTAACAAATTCAGAGTACTGGGAATAATTGAAGGCTTGAAAAAAATTTTCCATCCATCTGTCCAAAAATAAGTTGTGTCAGATTTTGAAAATCTGTTTCCTCTTATCTAAAGGTATTTCTTAAATTTTACTAATAATTTGTTTCGTTCATTTTACAATAAAATATGCATAATAAGAAATACCTAAGAAATTGTCCATATGTACCAGTTGAGTTATCTGGTGGAGAAACACGATTTAGCTCTGTCGTTAATGTTCAGAATATGGAAATTCTCTTATGTTAAATGAAATGTACATAATTTAATTTTTAATTTAAGGAAGTTAGCTTTCGATTTTAAACTTGCCTTCGTATCCTATTTTCCTTTTGTTATTAATTTCTTCTATTATGGAACATAACGTTGTTAACATGGAAGATTGTAGCTGCCCTAGATCAAATTCAGTCATTTTCAATAAAGGAAGAAATAATCCAAATTTTGTTTAGAACTGGAATCATGAAGGGTTCCCGAATCTTTAATAGTAAAACAAAAAAGAAAAAGAAAAAAGAAAGAAGAAAGAAAGAAAAATACTTTTACTCAATATTTATAAAGTTTTTGTTTAAGAAAATTTTAGGAATAATAGAAATAATTTTAGGAATAAAAAATAGGAATTTAAGGAGTGCAAATGTAGTAATAAAATTTTTAAAAATATACCTGTATATATTAAGAAGATAGAAATGAAATTTAGTAAAATAAAAACATAATTAAAAAACTTGAATGATAAAATTAATTTTTCCCAATATAATATGACAAAATGCTTATGAGCAATTCAGATTTTTTCATGCCTTTAAAAGTTTTTCAAATAAAAGCAACCATAGATGGGAGGATCATTTGAAAAGTTAACAGAGATAAACTTTAAATATGAAACGTTAAATTATTTACAGGCATTTAAAAGTGTGGACTGTGGACTGGATGTAAGTAAAGCTAATACTTCCATTACTTTGAGATAATATGCTTAATGTATTTTCAGAGCTAAGATCTGAAATATTAGAATGGTGGAAAGAATGCGGATATACAGATTTCCAATTTTCGAGCCTTTTTTAAGATTTGAGAATCCGAAAGTTTCATCTGAAAATATTTCTGATTTGTTGTTGTAAATTTACTAATACCACTGGTTTAATGTAAGCAACGTAATTTATGTGTTCGAAATTTATGTTTTTTAATTATTCATGTGATGGGAATGCAATTCATGTTTGGATTTATCAAGCGCATTGCTTTGTATTGTCTTATATGTAAGTATAGTACGACAACAGCTTTTTGAAGCTCAAGATATATTTATTTGCTGCTTTTTTTTCTTTTTTATAATTCAGTAAAGATGTTGAATATTTATTTACTTATTATTTTTTGTTTTCATGTTATCTTTTCTTCGGAACAAAATTTTTGTTATAATTTCTTATTGCATAAAAGAAATATTTATTTCTGTTAAAAGTAGCAAATATGTTATAAAAGATTGATTCCATTAAATATGTAAAAACTTTATAAAAAATAAACTGTAATAAAAACTTTTAAAATCGTCTTCCTTTTTTATGAGCGTGTAAATTGTTAAAAATTTATGTACCGTACATTCAGGCGTATAACATGCTCTTTTAATAGAAAATATAAGATCGAAATTAAGGCGTGCGCGTTATATGCTGGATATGAAAATTATAGATTTAAAAATAAGGAAAAGATGAACATAAAGAATTAGTTTTCTACCTGCTGTTCCGAATGCTGTTTGTTTAAAAGGAATGCTCATACCTTATGAACTTTAAAATAATAGTTAGCCATAAGTTCATACCTTACGAACTTAAAAAATTTTCATTGCCGGATAACGTGCAAATTTCGTCATATTCGGCCTTTGTTATATCTTCAGACACATCATCGAATTCAGTTCCGGCTTCACCATTACTGATTCATAAATAAATAATTATCTTCCGTTCCATCAAGATTGTCAGATATACATTTTAAATGACTTCCTAGTTGTGTCGAGATTAATTTTATTCCATGGTTTTGTTATCCTCTCATCCATTTTTTAAAGAATGTCATGAACTATTTGTCCTCCTGTGGTAATTGTTTTTTAACCTAATTTTATTCCATGGTTTTGTTATCCGCTCATCCATTTTTTCTAGACTGTCATGAACTATTTGTCCTCCTGTGGTAATTGTTTTTTAACCTTCAAATATCCATGTATTCCACAGTATTTAAAATTTCCTTTGAATGGATTTTTGATACATACATCTAAAGGCTAAATTAATGGCGTTAATCCGACAAGAATAAATATCATGTTTGTGTTACACTATTTCATCAATTATTCCGTAATATCCATTAGATGGAATCTGAACATGTCCCAAACTAAGACTCTTTTAGGCAAACATTTCTTATTCCCAATTTTACACCGATTTCGTTCATCCATCCTTTCTCATGAATATGATTGAAAACAACATTGGCTTGGGGTGTGGATATACTTGCCATCTGTTAAAAATAACTATGTGTTTTACGGTGAGGAGAGAGTCTGATCTGTTGTTTTTATGTGAACTCTTATTGTTCCTTTTCAGATCGACTGTTTTATTTCCTCTCATATCGAACGTTACAGGGATTTCATACTTCTAGAAACTTGCCCAAATCTTTGCAAAACTTCTGTTTTTCCACGTATAGCTAAATTATTCCGTGCCATAAAACTCAAAGTTATCTTAAATCTTTCATTTTCAGTTACATTCCTTTTTTCGCATTTTAAAGCAAATAAACGTGTTTTTGCGGTAATTAATCCAGGCTCTATTAATCCATTATCCAGGCTGTTTCTTGTTCCAATTAATACATTCTGGCGATACTCTAGGGCCCAATTCGCAACATTTTCTTTTTAGGGTAGGTTATTTCATTACTCCTTTATGTGGAGCACATTTATTCTTTGGCATATTAGTTAATGTGATTTCATTTCTCTTCCCTCACGTACTGAGCTTTCACTAACCCCAAACGTCCTTCCCGCAGCACAATTTCCATGCTCTTTCACAAACTGCATGACTTTGCATTTGTTTCGTTTGGCAAGAGCCATATTTACTACTAAAAGGAACTCCAGAACAGCTGTATTTAAAGTAAAGTAAATGGGATTTACTAAAGCCATCGATGTTCATTTCAAAATCAAGGCCTCAAATTTCTGGAGAAAGACAAAACATCTGACTTCTAATTCATTCGGGTCAGTAGGGAGTTCTTACACTTATTTACACACAATTCTTACACACAATTTAAGAAATTGTGTGTCCCTCCTTTTTCGAAAATCTAGAATAACATTCTTGTGCACACCTGCATTAAATACAACCCACTCAGTTTGTAAAATTATTTACTCCTTCAAGCATTTACCCTACATGCATATTGTTCCCTTGATAGCTTTGTAAATTCGGTATACCATAATTTGAAAACCTGGAAAAAATCTTCAAATGAATGACTTCACATTATAAGAACATTGCATTTCAGATTTCTTCTTAAAGGAAGAACAGGGTGCGAGGTATACGGATAATATACTTAAAAATTTAAAAAATAGAGTTAGAAATTATAGCTGCGCGTTATACGCCGAAATGTACGGTAATGTCGAAACGATTATAATCTACTGTTACTAAAAGAATTCAAATGACTTTAATTTTCTATTTAAAGTGGATGTTTAAAACGTTACAAACCTTTTTGTACACCATTAAAGTAAACTATGCTAAAATTTACTATATTTATACATTAGAAATTTTTGTCGTATTATTAATACAGCATTTTATTTTTTTATTATAAATAATAAAAAATTCTAATGGATATTACGTAATAATTAGTTTAAGAGCGTTGAAACTAATTAAAGAATTATTTCCTATGAATTTTTATTTGACTGAAAATGAGTATCTGAAATAACTCAGTGTCATTTGTGTAATAATTATGATGTATATGATAAAACAAGTGATCCAAAAGTCGTTCAGATTAGACTTAAAAAAACTCCAAAATAGATGTTAATGGTTGTTCAATCGAGTATAAAGCATTTGTAATATATGAGAAAAATTTATGCTTTTGTTATGAGTCTGCTAATTGTTCCTCTGCTATTATGGGTCAGCTTATTGTTCCTCATTGTTTACAATATTAATTCATGGTGGCTCTGCTGTGAGCCATATATTGGGTCATATAAAAAGTTTCCGCGCTTTTCTACTACATTTTTTAACAAAATTTTTCTTTATTGCAAACCAAGTTTTAATCAACTACATATTGACCATTATTATCTGTGATCTTTGGCCATTTTTCGAGTAGTTTCATAATTTCATCGATGTAGAACTTCTGTGGTTTATCGCCGAAAAACTTGGCCAAGTGATTTTCAGCGACGCTTCGGCCGGCCAGTTTTTTACCATCAAGAGAGTTTTGCAAAAAACCAAAACAAATGGTAGTTAGATGGTGCAAAGTCCGGGCTATACGGTGGGTGCATCAAAACTTCCCAGCCAAGTTCCGTCAATTTGTTCCGAGTCATTAAAAATGTGTGTAGCTGCGCTTTTTCATCATGGAACACAACTCCTTTTCTGTTGGACAAGTCTAGTCGCACTTTCTGGACTGCTTCGTTCAAACGGTCGATTTGTGCCAGGACCGAATGGATGGTTTCGCTAGGTTGCAGCATCTAATAATAGACAATTCCCTTCCAATCTCAACATAAAAATTTCAGGAATGGAATCAAGCAAACCACAGCTGGGTATCTCGTTCACTCAGAGCATTCTCACGGTATACTTCAGAAAGTTTTCGTTATGTTTTGGAAGCGTTTTTACCCTTTTTATAGTAAAACACCATCACATACCGTATTTCTTTAGATATTTCACTCATTTTCAAATCAGTATAACTTTATAAGCACGAGCAACAAATTAGAAAACTATCTTCACAAACAATGGAAGCTGAATGTCACTTTTGAGCACATGTTCATTTGAGACAAATCTGGTGAGTGCCGCCGGATATAGAGGCATCAATACCATCTAGTGGCAAAAAAGCGCAGAGACATTTTATATGACCCAATAGTTTGGATTCTATTTTCATATAAAATTCTACTTGGAATGGCAATCGCAGAAAAACAAATTCAAATTACACATGAGCAACATTAAGGACTGTTGAAAATTAAGGATTTTTAAAGCCCAAAAAACATAAGGACTTTTAAAAAGGGTACAAATCTATAAGAAACGCTTTGAATCTATTCTTAAAGCCACACATTTCTGCCAGGTCAAAAAGAACAAAAACCTGCTAGCAAGTATGTTTGTTGATTGACTTTTGAGATAAATACCTAATTAAAACACAAAACATTTAAGCAATAAATTTCGACTCTTTTAAATGCAACATTTAAGCAATAAATGCACAAGTAAATGTTTTTCCTGTATCAATTATTATTATTGAAATCCGATGAATCACTTACTGTAGTCTTGTATTTCATTTTATTGAAAGTTAAGTCATTTAAATTATCTTATCCCGAAAAAGTGTTTAGTTTCAAAATGCTCAAAAAAGTTATCGATAACTTCCAACAAAATATAAGTTTGTGAGATAAGTGCTATGATACATGAAAATTCCATTATCCTTTAAACGAAAAGATCGTTATTTAAAAGAAAACAAATCTGAATTAATGATTAATGGCTTATGTTTAACGTGACATGTAAATATTTAATAATATATATGTTAAACATAATAATATATATGCTTAATAATTATAAGATTATTATTCATTATAAAAAGGCAGTATTTTACTGCAAGGAGCATACGTACATAAACATATCATAATTAAAATGTTGGAAGGTAGTCTACTGAGAATTAAGCATATATGTTTTATAACGAATGTTTCGTTCCAAAGTAGTAAATATTGTAAAATCCAAACACTGTAATAAAATATTTTATCAATGGTTATAAAATAGTTTTTAGTTAGAAATTGTAGTTGGGAATAAATTCCAGTTGTATGAATCTCGACAAAAATATAAAGCTAGCACACACTTATTGGTTAGGTGGAATTAGTAATTTTTATTAATGATTTAGAAGAACCTGAAATAATCAGGAGATGAAGGATCATTAGGTATTGAGCTATACGTCTTTAATGTCAGGGCTAAAAACCCAATACATCTTAGTTTTTTTTTTTTTTTTTTTTTTTTATCGAACTGATAATTTTAGCCGAAACTTCATATAGCATGAGTTTGGTACATTGTTATGTAACTGATTCGCACTATTACCAGAAAACTTAATATTATCTATAATTTAGCTTAAATTACTAATATCTTATTTACCTTTTCAGTTTATTTTTTAATTGTTTATTATTTGTTTTTTACTTAATTTTATTATGGTTTTCCAAAACGCTTCGACACTTCTAAGTTTAGAAATTAAAGAAATTAAGACTTAATTAAGACGCTAAAATACACTTTTTTAGTTGAGTCATTATTAAATGACTATGTG